AAAAAAAAAAAGAATAATAATCAGGGCTCTCCCTGGTGGTGCAACGGGTTAAAGCACAGCATTATGAAGCTCTGCAAAGGCACTGCAGCACGAGTTCCATCCCCAGCCAGGGATTGACCCACATGGTGCTGCAGACCTCTCCTGACCCGCCCGCTGCTCCCCTCAGCAGTGTGCCTTGTCCATCTGCCTGTTCTGCTCCCCACTCTGCCTCTGGTGAATCCTCTCACCCACCACAGCTCTGGCTTGTACCCCAGTTCTGTATGCATAAACAAATAAATAAAAGGAAAAAAAATAAGAATCTATGGAAGAACCGTGTCCAAGGAGCTTGGGGAAGCCGGCAGTTTCTGGTGACTGCGAGGATTTCCTGCTTATTGTGTCCTTACCCCTCCAGCCCTGTAACAAGAGCGGAGAGCCAGTGGCTGTGAGGAATTTCACGAAGGTGGTAGGGGAAAGGTAGGGGGAAGCATGCAAGAACAGGAGCGAATGGACAATGAGCTTGGCTCTGAGGTGCTCTCAGAATCTTGCTGCTTTGTGGATTTGGTTGACTTGAGTTTGAATCTTACTCCTTTTTAGTGCCTGGACTAGCATTTGACTCTTACGTAAGTGTTGGCAAGAGTTCTTCCTCAGGTCCAGTTGTAATGAGTTAACAATTAAGGTAGGTCTCAGGAGCTGCTGAGGACTCAGAAACACTCCCACAAAGAGGAGCTTCCTTTTTCCTGTTGACTTATTGAAATAACATTAATAATGCAGCTGCTACTTCTTAAGTGGCCCAGTAATGACTATTAATGGAATGTGTTTATCATAGCTGGACTGCCAGAGCAAAAGAAGAATTAAAGGAGAGATTGCTTTGTGGGGCCTCAGGGCAGCCCTCTCCCTCCTGTGCTCTTCCCTTCCGTGTCCTGGTGTCACGGGGCACCCCAGTGTGAACTGGGCTGCCTGCCTTTGGGGCCTCACCGGTGAGCTTAAGATTCACCTGTACTGCAGACACTCACAAAAAGGTCAATAAAGGGTTTATTTACAAGGGAAAAGAAAAGGAATAACCCAGGGAAAGAGAGCAAGAGAGAAACAAGTTAACTAATGTGTCCCACCAGTTCTGCTGACCTCGAGCCCCAACAGCAAGCTGAAAGCTAACGAGCCAAGCAACCAGCTGCCAGCCATGAGCCTGCAGAGAGAGGTCTCAGCCAACATGTCCAGAGAAGTCTCAGCCCAACATGTCCGGCCTTATATCCAGCTGCTTAACTCTGTCCTTGGGTCCTGCAGTCCCCTTTGGTGTTGCTGGGATTCGTGGTTTCAGTGTCTGGGTGTGGAATCCACATGTGTCCAGTTCCCTCTCCAGACTACGAGACAGGGTAGTCAGTGTCCCAGAGGTCCAGCAGTGGGGGCCTCTACAGCGGCGGGGCAGATGGGTGAGCTACACCCTACAGGTCTAGAGGCGGCCACAGGGTCCGGAGGACTCAGCCCCCAGTCGGTGGCCGGGAGACTGGCTACTTGTCTCAGCTTCTCAGGTGACACGGTGCCTCGTTCTATTAAGTGTGAAATGGGCTTGACAGTTACCTCTCTGGCCTGGCCAGAGTGAGTCCAGCAGGTTGCTGTGCTGTGAAGCCCTGTGCTAGGGCACGTGGAGACGCCTTCCCGGGCTGGGGAGCCAGACTGCCTGGACTCATATTCTGGCACATATTCCTACTCGTGGTCATGGGCACCTCTAGCCTCTAGCTAGAGAATAATCGTACCAACTGCAGAGGGTGCTGTGATAATGAAATGGCCCATACACAGGGAAGCATTTTCAGTAGTGCTGGGCAAGTGGTGAGTGCCACCAAGTGTGGGAATAGTGGTAAAGTTCACTTAAATGGTGTGGGTGCCTTCTTTGGGACTCTGAGACTTAAGATGGTAAAAACTGGAAAACCTTTGCTCAGAAACCACGGGTGTTTTATTCTCAAGTGGAGACTTTATCCTGGATTTGGAAATAGCCCTGATTTTGCTTTTTAAAATGTAAAAAGCAAAGCTCTCTTCTCCCCTTTGGGTGGAGAGGGAGCTAGGCCTGAACTGGGGGTTGGAGGCGGCCCAGCCACGTGGAGGGAGGGTGAGTACAGCCGCTTGGTGTGTGCAGTCTGCGCGGAGTCTTGACGTGGCCGAAGGGTTTGCAGTGCTGAGGAACCTCAGGCACACAGCCTCCTGGGCCCCAGCCTCTGGGTCATGTTGCCGGCCCGTTCACATCCCTGGGGGCTGCAGCTTTCCTGTTTGCTATAGCTTTCCTGTTTGCTGTGGCTGAACTAAGAAGATGCCTCTGTACATTTCCACTGAGATTAAGATTCCATAAAAGATTTTGAGAAGAGGCTGGTATCTTTCCGAGTGCAAAGTGATTTTGGAACATGAAGAATGTCGCTGGGTTCAGTGTCATGGAAGTGTGTCACTGACCTTTGTCCCTGAACTATGAGGCCTAGATATTTGGGGTAAGGATTAATAATATATAATCAACAAAATAAAAAAAAAGGTATGGGGTAGAAAGTGGGGGTGAGGGCCACTTTGGGTGTTGGTAATAAGGACAAACTTATTTTTAAGTATTATACTTTTACATCACGTTGTGCCTTTTCCCATCTCAGTTGAAATCCCCACAGGCTTCCCATCACCAATTCACCCATGTGCCATCACCATAGTCCAGTGCACTTCCCCCCCCAACCCCCACCTTTCCTCACTCCACCCCCACAAAATGTCTCTGGTATATGGCTGTTCATTATTATTACTATTTTCTTGCCTCGTCCTTTATGCTCCTGCTATGAGTGAAACCATCTGGTATTTTTCTTTTTCTTTCTGGCTTATTTCACTAAGCATGATCTTTTCCAGCTCCATCCATGTTGCTGCAAAAGACATGTGTTTATTTTTTTTTGGTTGCTGAGTAATATTCCATTGTGTATATGTACCACATCTTTTTAATCCAGTCATCCACTTTTGGGCATTTGTAAATAAAGCAGCAATAAACATGGGAGTGCAGGTGTCTTTTTGAATCAGTGTTTTTGTGTCTTTTGGGTAGACACCTAGGAGTGGGATTGCTGGGTCATATGGAAGCTCCATGTTTAGCAGTTTGAGAAACCTCCAGACAGTTTTCCACAGTGGTTGTACTAGTTTGCATTCCCACCAGCAGTGCAGAAGAGTTCCTTTTTCTCCATATCCTCACCAACGTTTGTTGTTGCTAGTATTTTTTAGATGTGCCATTCTCACTGGGGTGAGGTGGTGTCTCATTATGGTTTTAATTTGCATTGAGATGACATTTGAGTTGAAATTGATGGAAGATGGCAAACTACAGTCTCCCAGTTCCCAGCCTACACTTAATGAGTGAAAGGATTAGAGACAGGGTCCAGGAATCTGCATTTTCTTCCAGGTAATGCCCATGTGTTCCAAAACTGGACTTCACACCTGTTGAAAGTTAGGTCTCTTCCAGTTCCAGAGTCCCTGTGGTTCACGGAAGGAACCTCTCATTCTCCTGGGGTGAGGGTGAGGGGACCTGTCAGAGGCAGGATAGGAAGCAGTACACACACACACACACAGTGGCCAGCCCTATCCCATTTACACACACACACACACACACACACACACACACACACACTGTGGCCAGCCCTATCCCATTTAAAAACCCATCTCCAAGAAGCCCACCCACCCGGCTCCCAGCTTCTTGGTGTAAACTGTGAGCGTGTGAGAGCTGCGGGCCTGGGGCCGAAGCCTCGCTTTGGAGCCTCGGACAGCTGGCGCCATCTCTCCAGCAGTTTATGACGCCAAGCCTCGCCTCCTGGCCTGTGTCTCCCCACTTCCACTCCTCTGCCGCCGGTGTGGGACTGAGTTCTTCAGGCTGCAGGCAGGGCGCCCGCTTGGCCCCTAGCCAGCAGTGTGGGCTGGTGAACCTGCCGCAGGTGCTGCAGATAGGACCCCACGCCCACGGGGCGCAGTGTCTGGGTCCCGCAGCCCACGGTGTGCACCTGACCAGCGTTCCCGGGGAGCAAGAAAACCTAAGACTCCTGCGTGTTTGCCTGTAAATGCTCCCGTCCCCTAGCACCCCACCCCTCCTCTCCTTTGGATTTCCCCATCGCTTCAGGAGGAGGAACCCCTGAGACTTGCTTAGAGTAGGGAAAGGGGCATTCCGCCTCGGCGGCGCCCGCCCTCGCTGCTTTCATCTCCCGGCCGGCTAGCTCCTCCCGCCGCCCGCGGTCTCTCCTCCCGCCGCGGTCGCTCCAG